ACTTGATCATTCTAATTATACTTGGAGAAGAGTACAAGTTATGAAGCTCCTCACTATGCAGTTTTCCCCAACCTCCTGTCACTTCATCTCTAAAAATAATAATAATAATAATAATAACAACAACAACATAACTTCATTTTTTTGACTAGGCAGATGAGATAATTAAGTGATCAAAATATACATTGTTGCACTTGACGGAAAATCTATTGACAATTAACATAACTTCAGTTATTCTTTTCTGTTTTTATGTCGTGAGTCCTGTTGTATGCGAATACTCGAGTTCCTATACTGTCACACAAAGAACGTGGGTTTTTGAGTACAGTATAATAAAACAACAGAAGTCATGTAAAAAAGGATAAATCAGTTTTATTATAGCAGTCACACTACGTGTGTCGGTCACGTCACAATACATGTATTAAATTTCATGCTGAATTAAAGAAAGGTGAAGTTGTCCCTGTCCTTAACCAATTAAGCACTACGCCATGAACGCGTATGGGTGAGTGGATTTACAGACCCACATTTCCTTGATCTCGGCACTAGGTGGGGGTGAGTGGTCAGCTTTACGCCCCGGCCGCTTTTCCCCCGGGGAAGGTCCTCCCGGTTCCCACTGGATAGGAGGTTGGCTCCACAGTCTGTATATGTAAGTGATGCTGTGAAGAATTATTTGTTTGTGTTGTTTGTGTGTTTGGTTGAATGGGTACTGGGTCTCTAAATACGCATACATAATGAAGCAAGGGTGTAGTCCCGTCATGGTTTGGTTCGTTATAAGTGGGCGGTTGTTCATGTGATCAGTTTCGTTGTTTTCTGTCGTGGAGGGTTTATCTCATGTACTGGTTAGCGTGTTAATAACCGACTATTTATGAGCTGAAAATCCAACGCGTATATATACCTATAATTTAAAACGTCGGTTTGCCCTTCACGCTCTGTATTCTAGCTTGGAAACCAGTATGATTGTTCGTTTTGAGAAGGAAAACTTGTAAAATTTATTATTTTGCTCTTCCGTCCACGGATTCGAGACCGGGCGAAGTGTAGTTGTCAAAAAACATGTTCGCTAGTCCAGGAACTTAGCGACAGTGTAACCACCTCAAGCAACAAAGATTGATCCTCAAATTGCAGCCCATTTTATATACAAATTTCATCTTCCAAAATGCTGAGCTAGTTTCGATAAAATCTTTTATTGGAAGCCTAAATTAAAATTTGTCGGTCTATTTAGCTATGGTCCGTAATATTCCTATATATATCTAATAAGCCAGTCTGCATGTTCTTCAAATTGATCGTTTTTTTTCCTGGTGAAGGAAGGTATGGTAAAAGTCGCGACAATAATACGTGCGAAGGCTGACACTACATGATGGCGTGCATCGTTACACTTCTGTAACTTCTTCATGCACATAGGCACTGCTGAAAGGGAACGTGTCCCTGTGTTTAATTAAACAGCACGACCTGGGGACGTACAAGGAGCAGAGCTATATTTAACGCCTGCACTAGATGGAGGTGTTCATAATTTGCACTCTTCTCCAAATATACTTAGAATGATCAAGTCAAGGAGAATGAGGTGGGCAGGGCATGTAGCATGAATGGGGGAGAAGATGAATGCATATAGGATATTGGTGGGAAAACCAAGGCGTAGGTGGGTGGACGATATTAAAATGGATCTTAGAGAGATAGGATGGGATGGATTAGATTGATCTGGCTCGGGATAGGGTCCAGTGGAGGGCTCTTGCGAACACAGTAATGAACTTTCGGGTTCCATAAAATGCTGGGAAATTCCTGAGTAGCTTCAGAATTGGTGGCTCCTCAAGAAGGGCTCACCTCCATGAGTGAGTAAGCAACGAGATGGAGATGAGTGGTCACTTTCAGCCCCCGGCCGGTAAAAGAAAAATTAGATTCTCAGTTATCTTCTAGATGCAGTATGTTAACCTGAAATTCTGTTTCCTGAGAAATAGTTTCTTGAAATATAGAAAAAAGGGTTGATTTGCAGAGGTTCACCTTATAGAAGCCGTATAAGTTATCAGCAATGGAATCGAAATTTCTTTCAGTCTGTTCGGATAAAATAGTGAAACTTCATCAGTGTAGGAGTACGTCCTGATATACGATGTTTAATAAAAATATATTTGCGTGTAATCGTGAGGTAGTGTCTGGTGTGCATTGCTTTATTTTTTCTCCGAAACGACTGAACACTTTTCTGTGAAATTTGATATTCGCTGTTCCGAACTAAAGAAATGTCACGTGCATTTAATTTTTGTCCACGTCCGTACATTACGTGAAGCTCAGATTGTGAATATTTTAATGATTGTTGCATTATTGACGGACTTAATACATAGACGTTTACTCAAATCAGACATCGATTGGGAAAGGCCCATGCAGAAATGTGTGTTTATGTTGTGAAATATTTTGATATCTCTGTATGAACGTGGTTTTTGTATGGTTTATATAGGAAATACACGGCAAAGTTACTTAAGTTTATCTTTCACTTTGGCGTACTCCTGCTGTGGGAAAGGCGGTGCGTTACGGTGTCAGTTAATGACGCAGACTGTTACGCTATGTTTTATTAAGAACGTAGCTCAAGTATTCCTATGCTTACTTACTTACTTACTTACTTATGGAGCTGAGCCCTTCTTGAGGAGAAGCCAAATCTGCAGCTACTCAAGAATATCCCAGCATTTTATTGAACCCGAAGGTTCATCACTGTGTTCACAAGAGCCCTTAACTGGTCCCTATCCTGAGCCACATCTATCCAAGCCATACAATCTCATCCTATTTCTGTAAGATCCATTCTAATATTGTCCACTCACCTACGCCTTGGTCTTGCCTGTGGTCTCCTTCCTTCTGGCTTTCCCACCAAATCCTATATGTATTCCTCATCTCCCCCATTCGTGCTACATGCCCTGCCCACCTCATCCTCCTTGGCTTGATCATTCTAATTATACTTGGAGAAGAGTACAAGTTATGAAGCTCCTCATTATGCAGTTTTCTCCAATCTCCTGTCACTTCATCCCTCTTCGGTCCAAATATTCTCCTCAACATCCTGTTCTCAAACAGCCTTAGTCTATGTTCCTCCCTTACTATCAGAGACCAAGTTTCACACCCATACAAAACCACAGGCAGAATTATAGTTTTGTATATTCTAATTTTTATGTTTTAGAACAGCAGACGAGAAGACAAAAGGTTCTGGACTGAATGGTAGCAAGCATTACCCGAGTTCAGTCTCCTCTTAATTTCCTCCTGAATCAGGTTTCGATCTGTTATCATCGTTCCCAAATATTTGAACTGTGCCACATTTTCAAAACATCTGTTTCCTATCTTTATGTCCTGATTTTGATGCCGGTGGGAAATTCAGACGTACTTAGACAGGTCTTCTCTTCCGTTATCTTGGTTACACACTCTGCGATGTGCCTGGTCCCTGCACTATGTGGGCTTCAGGAGCCGTTTTAGCGATTAAATGGGCGATGGAGGAACTGCAGTTCCATTCCCGACAGGAACATTCGCATAGCTTCTTGTTCAGTGGGTACCGGGGGCTCTCATCCCGGGGATAAAGCAGTCGCGGCGTGAAATTAATGAGGGACCTCCATCTAGTGCTAAGTTTAAGAATGTGTGGAACTCTACTTCCACTCTCTGATGACACCATGCTTAATTAAGTACGGGAATGTCACATTTTGCGTTTTATTACAGTGTGAATACTTATTAACGTTTATGTCTGCAGTACAAATAAATAAATTAAATAAATACATGATCATCGAAGGCAGTGGAGTATGAAATGTTTCATATACATATGCAACTTCAGCGGCTAGAGGGTGTCGCGTGGTCAGCGCAACGGATCCCCACGGCCGTTAATCTTGGTTTTCTAGACCGGAGCCTCTATTTCCTTGAAATAGCTCCTCAGTTATCCTCACGAGGCTGAGTGGACCCCGTTCTACACCCACTACTTCTCATAAAATCTTGTAGCGCCGTGAATCGAACCGGGGTCCTGTGGATCTGTAACCAGAAACTCTGACCCGACAAGCGGCGGTTGATCAGTCGGTATAGTTCGCTTGCAAAGTACAGGCCTGGGAGTTTGTTTTGTTTTTTATATATATGCATATCCCGATAATAATATACTGAAATACTAATGTATTTTTTTAATTTATATTTTTGTGTATTTTATTTTTAAAGTCTCAGACTCTCGTGCTTGTATGGAATTCATATCTGCAGTAAGATACAGGTCCCTACACCCTGAGACTGTTTATTTTCAACAATGTTATGTAATACTCAGACCTACTCACCTGTGCTGTTGTACGGGATGAGCAGCAAATTCATGCTCGCGTAGGTCGAGACGACAGCCCGTAGGAGCTTCTTGGTCCGGTGCAAGAAGGGAGGAGCAGTATCTACGACCACTGCCACAGGACTTCTTAAGTACCGGTCCTGAAGGATCTGTTTAATGGTGCTTACAGTAGATGTCCCCTCAGGCTCCATTACCGGAACTGCAACAGCCGGTGGCCCTAGGTCGTTGTTGTAAGGATTTGTGTGTATATCTCGGATTGGAATCGCGCCTGGCCTTGGGCCGGATAATATTCGTTGCTGAGTAGCCGTTGAAATCTGGCACGATTGAAATACAGCGAGAAGTAGGCACATGGCAGTTCGATTCAGCAATATTCTCTTCAAGATATTCATTTTTAGATTTTTAATATGTCTGTTTCTCGTTCTGGCTAGTTTCCGTTTAAATTCATTTATATTTTTATGTTGTAGATTATTGATTTTAATAAGGGGTTAATGATACTTAGAATAGGACTGCGTCTGTTCTGTGTTTGGTTTTAATGGACGGATAACAAACCTCAGGTTATTCTTAAGATGTTTAATATTTCACAGAGAACATTACTTTGTATGCTACACGAAAGAAAAAGTATGGTGAAACACTTGATTTTATGTAGTTTTCGAAAGACAGGATGAGCTGCCCACTGCCGTAGACCTATACGTACTGAAGTATATTACGTCGTGCACAGTTCTTATAACGCGGCCGTCTTACGTAGTTTGAAGAAATGACGCTTATTCAGGGCATTTCCATGTTTCATTGCTCATATCGGAACGATAGATAGGAGTTAGAAGAAAATATAAGGGCGGAGTTATTTGGCCGGAAGTTACCGGACGTTGTTTAACAGTTGTGACGCTTAGTGTTTGTAGAGGAGTATACGGTTGACGACGAAGATATTCCTGATTTTGTTAGCCTTTGTTTAACAGTAATCTAAGCTGAATGGCAGCGGTTGTTTTTATTGGCGCCATGCGTCTGTTAGGTATAATTGATCGAAGGAAAGAAAACTGACCAGCGTTCTGGTGGAATTTGGGCCCTTCACGATCGCACGCATTCATGAGCATCCATGGTTCAGTGTTAGATAACTTCATCTATGTAAGGCATGTCCAACTTCAAACAGGTTGTGATCGACTTTTTAGTGTCAAAACTGCCAGTGATCTACCACCTTCTCCTATCGTCGTACCTCGCTTTAAGCAAAAATATTGGTAAAAATTACACGACATATGATGTTTGCTGTAAAAGCAACATACATTGAAAGTAGAGACTGCTTTAACACGTATTTTCCCTTCAAAATCTGAATATAATCATATTATATTACAAGTGAATTTACATGCTTTTCACGTATAATTTCCTTACAGGCCTATGAGATCGACCAAAAATCGTCCCGCGATCGACGCGTTGGACATGCCTGTTCTATGGTATTAATTAATTTATATAGTTAGATGTCAAGAATTCCTTAATCACTTTTCAACAAACCAAGTTACATCACAAAACTTGTATTATTTTGCTTGTTCACTCTAATGTGGGAATGCTATCTCACGTGGGTGATTTTCTGTAATTTTTCCTGTTACGTTGCGACTCTATTGCCCTAGGTTAATATTGCTTCGTCTCCTCACATCAGCGTGGGGATATAATTTCACTTGGTCAGTTTTATGAATTCCTACCGGTCAATTGTCAGGATGTCTCACCAAGCTGGTATTCTTCTCACAGAATTACTTGGTTTTTGGACTTCTCCCATCGTCCGGAATTTTAGGAAATAGAAAACACGACGTTTCCGTAACTGGACCTACGTCCAGTGACTGAGATTAGCTCCTAAGGGGCCCAACTGAGTAGGTGCTTCCTTCCTCACCTACAGACGGAAACATATCCAGTTTCCGAAACGTCGTGTTTTCTGTTTCCTAGAATTCCGGACGATGGAAAAAGTCCAGAAACAAAGTAATTCTATATGTTATTCACCATCGTCAGAACCGTTTAGAATCTGCTTGGTGGTCTTCTGTCTACTCTAATGTGGGAGCATTGTATTGTTTGGGTGGTTTTCACTGGTTTTCCTATAGTAATGTATAAGTATTGTCACGTGTATCAGTGATTAATAACGCGGGTTTGGATTGGTGAATCGGTTTATTGGTTCTTCACTAGTCCTAACTACAGTTAATTCTTACGCTCTTAAGATTATTGTTAACTATAGCGCATAAAGTCTTCTAACATTGCACAGCTGAATCCTCACAACTCCTTTCCGTGACGGCTTCGTGTCCTTGACTCACGGCTTCTCAGCTATGACTGCAAGTCCAAGTCCAAGTCACATTGCGACTGACGGTCAGTCAGTCAGTAAGTCTTGGTGTCGAGCCCCGGCTGGGTCTCATGACCAGATATTTATTAGTGTTTGGCATTTACGGTCTTGTTTCTGTGGCGCGCCCTCTATGACGAGAGGACGGGTCTGCCTTTTGTATATGTTGCTGGCCCTTGCCAGCGCAGTCTTTCTCGGGTCTGGGTCCCTTGGGACTCGAGACCATGCAAACGACCTTCATTGTCCCCTATAAACCTTTGGCACGGACTCCATAGAGAACACCTATTGTAGACATGTTTATAGTTCTGTTGCTTAGCACTGGGCATAGCATGGACCACATTGAAGACACTTCTTCTGGTGTCAGAATTGTTGCGTAACCTAACAGCGGACTGTTTACCAAGAATCTGTTTTCGCTGGAACTTGTTTACCAACCCGTTACCTAGCAATGGGTATACATGTAACATATATTATCTCTCAGGTTAATATTCCTTCGCTTCTGCACTTAAGTGCTTTTCTGTAGTTGACAGCAGTTAGCTGTTCAAGATGGAACTCGAAAATTTGTTGTGTTCACAGTAGCACCTAATTGGTCATTATCCTTAAGTAGTCTACACCCTTTTTGCCATACTTGAGATCCATATGTTATCCTAAAATTTACGCCTGCTTCTCCCAAATTCTCTCTTCCTTTCATATTTTCAGGTTCAGATTTTGTATCAGTTTGTAACCTTCCCCATGTTTGTTACAACATGGCCCACCCATCTCACCCTCATTGATTTAATTATCCTAATACTGGGGGGTGTTTTAAAATTTTAATCGAGCAAAAACATTGAAGTGGACATCAGTTTTCTGTGAAACTGTGTACCCTTATCACTGTAAAGTTATGTGTCCCAACGAGACGAGATTAGTCATCAGTCTTTGTTGTGGTTTCAGTTTCCTGTGATGACGAACGCGTGATTTCAAATTTCATGTGACTCCGTTTTGTTTCGTTAGTTCTCCCCGAAGAATTGTTGCATCATACACGTACATGATGATAAACTGTTGAGAAATGAATGTTAAATTAACCGAAGAAATGTAGGTGTGGTTGCATGTGGATTATGGTATAACTTGATCCAAATGTCCAGCCACATCCTACCATCTACCGGCGATTAGTTGTTATTATACTGTTCTATTTTAGTGGCAGTCGTCGGGATCGAACCCGGTACCATCATAATACTCAAAACCTGCATGCTAACCATTAGATTGCCCCTGGCTTATGAGGACCGGAGTATAGCCGGCTTCTGAAGCGTCACATCTTGAACCATGGACAATGACAGACGTAATTGCGGTATTGACGTAACCGTTTTATGCACTTCTTTCGCTTATCCATCAACGGACCACATAATGGATGGGCTGTGTCCGAACGTGCAACCGCATATTTCATGTCTGAAACTACTGGTTCAGTTTCCTTCACTTTTATATTGAGGATGTTAAACCGAAAGTTGTTTAGGTAGTCTGATTTATATTAAATTCAGAATAGAATTATGTTGACTTTTTTTTACATGCCTTATCATGCAAGAATCTATGTGTAGCAAAATATATAAACGTCATTAAGATTTGTAACTTTTATTTCACACTTTTTTGTGAATATTTAACAAAATACAAGCCGAAATATGTTCTAATTCAGTGCATTGTGATATATAATGCGATTAGTTATGCAAATAGAGTTGTATCTACTGTAAACTGACTTTGAGTCACTGATATATGTGGAATTCGTAACGTTGCATTTGGAAAATGCAGTATTTGTACTCCATTCAAGTTGAGCTATTGAGTAATGGTCGCACACCCTTATCCCGTGGTAACAACATATTCTTGGAATTTGCTAAATGCAAAATTTTTTACACGCTTCATTAATTTTAGGCCACATATTACAGTGTGTATGATGTAAAACATGATGAAAGCTTATGGAGTGTTCCATAATGAGGTGCCATGATTAATGGGTTTTTTTCCTGTGGCGCTACAGCCCCAATTTGGGCCTAGGCCTACCTCCATGAAACTCTCCGTTTCACTTCGGTTTACTAGATCTTACACATTCGGTAGGACTCCTTGGGCGAGTGATCAGCTCGTCGCAAGGCCTCTACCTGTGCACAAACACAGAAAAACGCACACAAACATCCATACCCTGAGTGGGATTCGAACCCATGATCCCGGCTTTCGAGCGAGCGAAGACAGTGCATGCCTTAGACCGCTCGGCTACCGTGAATGATTAATGGTTTAGTTACAAGGAAACTTGACTTATTTCTTCGTAAGTTATTAATGAGAACATGGAACTATATGAAAAAGTGAACATATCTTGGAATACATTCACATTCAAAAAGTGGAAATATTTTTAAAACAGGTAAAAACGTTTTATTAAGTTCCGTGGTGAATTTTCAAACTTGCATAAATTTCATGGTCATGCAACAGACAATTTTTAGGAAGAAGTTACAAGCCTATTGTCCTGTAAATTCTTCCAGCTGTGCACGGAAAAGTGATTAAAAATTGTAATGTAGTAATTACACCGCTGATTACATCGTCGTGGGAAATGTGCTCTTGAGCACTGAGATCTCAGATTTGAATCCTGCTTTTGTGTATATGTATGTTGGGGGAGGGGGTGGAGACGTACAGATTGGTCAGTTCCTAAGCTTAGAAAGTATTAAGAATCCAAAATATCTGATGGATTCACAGTTTATGATTTAATCCTGAATTGGTACAGGCAAAAGGACCTAATCAGTGACAGCCAAAGAAAATGTACATTTCTGTACATAATTCCCATTGGTATACATTCCCACAACCTGATATATACATATGTATATCAAATTTTCCCATCATAGCTATATTAGTATACACCAGGAAGTTCTGGGAAGAACTGATCGCGTACTTTCACCACAAATTAGATATCTGATATGGCAAATGGGGCAAAACTTTATTATTAATGCACAAGTAAGTCAATATATCAATAATATAGACTTGATTTTTATAGAAGCTGAGTTGTGTGTGTAGTAGAACAGTTTAAAATGGTAAAAGTTTTTACCCCTTCCTCGTCATTGAGAACAATGTGAACCACGGGAAGGTGAGCATGGCTGTAGGGTAGGAGGGGCTTTGTGAGAGATGCTGCAATGTTGGTATCACTAGTGGGAGGGATTTGTGGAGTATAGCGTTGCGATGGCCTCATGTGGTGTAATACACATGCCAAGATTCACGACGGTTGGTTCAGGCGTTCAAGCAATATAAAGGTTTAGCCTCAGCAATTTCAGAAGCTGCAATGTTGGTATTATTGATGGGAGGGATTTATGAAGTTCTCCGTTGAGATGGCCTCAGGTGTCAGGGTAAACATACCCAGTATCATGACGATCGGTTCAGGCAGTCAAGTAATATTATTACCTCAGGATTTTGAGAAGCTATTATTGATGGAAGGAATTTATGAAGTATGCCGTTGAGATGGCTTCAGCTGGCATGATATACATGCCGAGTTTCATGACTGTGCTACATATAGTACGGGTATTATTGATGGAAGGCATTTATGAAGTGCGTCCAGATGATTTCGTGTGGCATGATATGCATACCAAGTTTCATGAAGATGGTGCATGCATTCGAGCACTATTATGGTTTTGCTTCAGCAACTTGCGAGGTTGAAGTACTCCGTTGAGATTGGCTCCGGTGCCACGATACGTACATACGAAGTTTCGTAGAGATTGGTTCAGACATTCAGAAGTTAGGCGGTGACATTCATACAGACACACACACAGCAGAGCACTTTTATTTTTAGCCTACTTTTGAAGCGGCACGCGGTAACATAGTTGGTTGAAGCACTATGCTACAAGCCGGAAGGTTGCGGGTTCGAGTCCAGATGAGGTGGATTTTTTTCAGTTTACCTAATTATTCTATCCGCACTATGGCCCTGGGGTCGACTCAGCTTCTAACAGAAATGAGTCCCAGGAATCTTCCTGGGGAGTAAAGGGCAGCCGGCGCATAAGACTGACAACCTTACCGCCAACTGTGAGCCGATTGTATAGAAAGAATTTGAGAGCCTCGACGTCTCACAACCCTATGGGCCCCGACGGCCTGTCACAGGGATAGTTTTATTTTGCCATTTTCCTTATTTTGAAAAATGAAAGAACGCTTACATCACCTTCTGTCTGTGTGCTTGTCTGTTAGACTATGTATCTGTGTACTCGTATCCACTAATTTTTTGTTTTCTGTGCTGTCCGTGTCGTATCAAAGGAAAGTAGGCGATTAGATGTTCCCAGAGCTGCTTCTTTCGAAATAATTAAAGTAGGCTAAAAGTGATTGTAGTAAATATGCAGATGTATTCATGAAATATGCCGGTCACGGTAGCCGAGCGGTCTAAGGCATGTACTGTCTTCGCTCGCTTGGAAACTGGGACCGTGGGTTCGACTCCCACTCAGGGCATGGATGTTTAGTTTGTGTGTGTGGTTTTTCTGTGTTTGTGTACAGGTAGAGGCCTTGCGACGAGGTGATCACCCGCCAAAGGTGTTCTAGATGTGTAAGATCTAGAAAACCCGAAGTGAACGGAGAAGTTCATGGAGGTAGGCCTAGGTCCACTGGGGCTGTAGTGCCAAGGAAAAAAAATCATGAAATATTTCGATATCAAATTTCGCTCCCATAACTTAGTGATTATTTAATTTTACTATCAGGCACTTTTCAGTGATGCGGATGTCATGTTGTTGCTGTATTTCGTTCTGGGTTTTACAAAAAAAAAAAAAGTCCCATATTAAAGGTATAATTTTGTATGATTGCTCAATACAACAGATTTTCACATTTTTTCCCCCCCGGTTCCGTTTGTGAAATAAACTGGCTTTCACAAAATCAGGTTTGCTCATCACAAAGATTGTAGTAAAAAAGTTTAACAGTTTATTATTGTTATCTCCTAGTTTTTATTTGAATGCAATTTTACTTAAACGAGGATGCACTTCTGTTCGCGACTGAAACATCATGTTCTCAAATTGCGGTTGAAAGAATTATTAGAACACCAAAAGAAAGACTTTTTTTATTGCTAGTGGGGTGGGACTAAGTCCCTTGTACTGCGGCCACTTCTGACCTATTGTACCAGTCCCAGATGATAGGTGAGGGTGATTGTGGAGCAATTGATGGAATGAAGATTGGCAGGGGAAACCGAAGTACTCTGAGAAAGCCTGCCACTTTGTCCACCAAAAATCCCACTTGAGACCCGGTATCGAACCCGGGCCGCCGCTGTGGGAAGCCAGCGACTAACCGCTTGAGCTATGGCGCGGGCAAAAGAGAAACTTACTAGGCAATTGCAGTTCACTAGTGTGTAAACATGATGATCGTGTATTTGCCTGATGATGGCTATGAATAGCCGAAACATGTAGCATAACTAATTTAGCCTTGTACTCTGTGTTGATGTGTTGTGACGGTCTTAATGAAGAGATGGAAAGAAAGACAGTTATTAAAAAACCACGCCGGTATTGTCTCAAAATTAAATTAATGTAAAGTTATGTTTAGGGACCGGGTTGGCTTAGCTGGTATAACGACGGGCAACGGGCTGGGTGGCTGGGGTTCGATTCCCGGCATTGACTAGGGATTCTTCTCTACTCAACGTCCAGACCGGCTCTTTGGCCCACCCAACCTCCTTTCCAGTGTGGATACTGTGGGCTCTTTCCCCGGGGGTAGAGCAGCTAGGGTGTGAAGCTGACCATTTACCTCCATCTAGTGCCGTGACCGAAAATGGTATGGTAAATAAGTTTCAAGACTCGATTTTAATTTTTGCGCCAGGCGATCTGGTAGCGTTGTTACTTGGATAGGTGATGGAACATATGAATTTGTTCATCAGCCCAACCAGAGCTTTGTTGGTGGCAAAAATAATTTCTTCACTGCTCTTTCTTAAAATCGTTAAGCCCGCCTCTGACACATTTTAGCCCTTCAAATATGTGGATTTATGTGGTATGAGCATAGAAAGATTTTCTCTGTAGCACTGGCTTCATTGCAGAAGGAATGTCTGATGTCTGGATATTGTGTTTTATGTTTGCTCTTTGGTAAAAAAAACGGAAATTTTTATAAGACAGAAATAGCCATTTTTAGGGTGGTTGATTTATTCTTGTGTTATTATCAGAACGGCAAATGGAGCACTTTTCTCTTATTGTGTCTGTTCAGTCTTTTTTGTGTGTATGTATATGACGTATACATGGGAGCTCAACTTCACCCTGATCTCCCAAATGTTAGTACCATTTTTATTATAGACTGGCATTGTGATCATGCCATATACTGTCCACACACACGTGAAACACAGTCTGGCAAATTCATGCAGCCTTAATGATGTTGATTCTTGTTATTAATTTCGTGGGTGCCACTTTCTTCAAGGAAGGGATAAATGCAGCAGAACAAACAGCCTACCTAAAACGTGCATTTGTTATAGCTGATATGTGCTATGCATGTCGTTATGATCAGAGCCTCTATTTTCCAATTCTGCAAACATCCACCATGTGATGCTTGTTTTTAGAATGTCTGTATGGAAAATGGTCATTACAGTTTTTGCAAAAACTGTGATATGATGCAAAATGTTTGTCTCTCCGTGTTATAAATTATCATTAATCAATCAATTAATTAATTTAGAAAGTGAGTTTTCTTAATGTTACCATAACCTTGTTGATGAATGAATTCTAGAAAGTATAGAACTAAAAAGTGCTAGTGTGGGTTAGCCTCAAGTGACACACATTGCTTTTAAACTCCAGGTTTCATAAATATATTAACAGTTCATTGAAAATTTATTTCTGGGTGATAAGACGTATGGACACACACAGAAGTTCATGCATATGATGGTACCCTAAGCGTATCCTTCCATCTTAAAATGCAAGGAAAGCAGGCTAACAAGAGAGAGGACCAAGTAACTGTAGGTTGTTTCCATATATTTAATAGTTCAGATAAGAAACAGGGCTATGTTAAGCCTACATATGGACTGAGTCCTAGGTTATTTAATGACATTGGTCCAACTGCATAGTTATAAGGCATCAGATAAGATGGGAGTATCATCATGAATGGTGAGTGGGTAAGGACTTGGAAGGAGGTGGTTGTGGTCTATTTCATAGGAATTTTCAAGCAATGTATGTCGAGACTAAAGAAAACTTTGGCACCCCTCAGTCAGGATAGTTTGTATACCACTTGATATTAAAACTGAGTATATCCAGAATAAAAGTAAAATGGTGACATGACACTAGTCTGCTTGGTAATCTTATATATGGTACTATATTGTAGAATGTAGACCAGTTGCTAGGTAGATGGCCACAACAGATTCCTAACATGGACCAATGGAATAACTGGGAATTTATGTTCTCTGTGCGTTCCATGTGACAACTGCATGTTGCAACGGTAGAAAAGCTGTTGGGAGAGGTATTTTTCTGTGCGGTCCATGCCCAAGTATTGAAAGCAGAAAAAGTCTAGAGTATAGTTAGTTGTGAGATAGTTGCCGGCCAGTAAGGACATGAACATGGAAGTTGAGGGCTCTACGGCATTGGAAGCCAGTACCAGACGAAGACTGGTGACGACACAGCATACTGAGAATACTTAGTATGTGCTGTAGTGAGTTGCTGAGTATGTGAAATAGCAATAGCGTTAGTTATTTGTAGTTACGATCTATAAGTGTTCAGTTAGATTCATTTACCCATCCAGACCCCATCTGTAGTCTGTCACTTGAAAATATTAATAGCCAATTATAGTACTATGTCACTTTCTTTGTTTCAGAAGTTGGAGAAGTGGGCAGTTTCCTTGGACAAGATCCTCCCAACACACCTTTGTCCATTCCTGGATTAATACATCCATTAAGCCCTATAAGTACTGATTCCAAGACATCTACTACATTCTTAAGCGACAATCAGCAGCCTTCTGGTTCACTAGATTCATTTAAAGAAGCACCAAACTTCCAGGCACAGCTGAAATCTCCACAAGATTATGCATCTCAGCCTTATAGCTTAACTCAGCCTCAGTCTTTTAGTGGTACCCACCCTCTCCCATCAAATTCCCCATCTAGCTATGCCCCTTCTTCATCCCCAGTTCTGCAAATAGCACCTGTTTCTTCCACTAGCTCTCAGGCCTTTCTGACTTCACCTCCACGAGCTAATCAAAGTCTGCCTGGTCAGTGGAGCTACCAGTCATCTCAACATGGCATTGTGGTAGGAACCACACCATCCCATAGTCTTGCAGATCCTGATGTTTCAGCATCAGTCACTTCTGGGCATCAGGCAATACCTTTGTTTGAATCATCAGTTTTGTCTACAAACTTGTCTCCGTCCCAGCCCCAGCATGGCCCTGAAGTGCAGTCTTCTTCGTCTCCTTCTTCAGTTCCATTATTAGCAACATCGCAATATCAACCAACCATCAAACAAGAAATCAGCATCCCTCAGTCTGTTCCTACTTCATGTCCTCAAGTTGCTACAGTTCCACCTTCAGGTAAGTTTCAATACTAAGACATACAAATTCTTTAAATTTATTTTATAAGGATTCAGTTATGATAGTAGATGACTGATAGTTTTTGCTGGGAGCTGTATAGAGCTACAAGTTGTTACTTGCTGGGATATTTTTCACTTGACTACCTTAAATCTGATGCAACATACTGACAAGTGTCTTATTGTGACTTGGCATTGCTGAGGGCCGTTATTCTCTGCTTGTTACTTGAAATAATTAGGAAACTTAGAATTCTGTCTGTGGCTTGTGTGTGTAAAATCTGACAGTCTCATTGTTGATCATAAAGCTTTTAAAAGCACAGCAGATTGTCACAAAGTAGCTGCCTGAAACATTTAGTTTTACAAAAGTAATTTTATTACGTTTTGATACAAGAAAATATATCAAAGATTGTCTGATAGTGGTTGATCTTTTCTTGCTGCCATCTATATCTCTCTATAAAGTATGTCATCTGTAGGCTGTCTTCCTCATTGCATTGATTGAAATATTGTATTTTATTCTATTCTGTGTTTCAAGGACCATGGATATGCAAAATAATTTTTTGTTTAATTTTAATTAAGTAAAGCCAAAAGCATTCATTGTAATCCCAAATTCAAAATGGATGTCATGTTTTTTTAAAGTGCTGCAGACACCTGACCTGACATAATTCTGGCCTTGAAAGGACTAAAGTCTGCATATTATGTTATGTTGTCTGAAGTTATATATGGTACTGTCACTTATTTCAGTTCCTTGTCCCATTGTCCTGGAGAAGTCTCTCAGGACACATAATGCTGCCCTAGCATATTTCAATAGCCCTAATGTATAGAATTTAAAAACCATAAAATTATGTTGATAATTTTCCAGAGAAAAGTTAATCATTTTTGTTTATTTTTGTACCTCCTACAGATGAAGGAAATGCAGGATATTGCATAACAGTTTCGTGACTTATATACTCACCTAGTACTGTCAGTAAAGTTAGCTCAAGAAGGGAATGGTTAGATTTCTAACTTGTGTGAGGAAAACAGTAAGCTTGTACAGACTTTCATGGATGATGCCCCTGAGAAAGGCAATAGTGAAGGATGTGGAAAGATATTAAAGTACAGGTAATAGTAGAATGAGAAAATCAGGAATGTATCAGAAATTCATTTTTGGACAGGTAGAGAAATGTTCGGCTTTTAGATAAATTGACAAAGTTGAATGCTGGTGTATTGATTTACAGGTAAATTTATGTATTGATATGAGAGTTGGTGCTCTCATTACAAGATCTTTTCGCTTCTTCGCTTAGTGGGGGGTGGAGTCCAACTGGGTCCACTCGGCACGGTGGCCACTGATTGGCCTACTGTAGCCTGCCCCGGGTAATTATGATGATGGAGAATTTGGTGGAATGAAGATTGGCAGGAGAAAACGAAGTACTCGGAGAAAACCCGCCCCAGCGCCACTTTTCCACCACAAATCCCACTTGACCAGACCCGGGATCGAACCCAGGCCGTCGCGGTGGGAAGTCAGCGACTAATTGCTTGAGCTATGGCGCGGTCATTACAAGATCTTACTTTAGTAACTGTATGACTTTTCTCGCAAAAACATTTGTTTTTTATTTTGTTCCAGATATAACATAGTTTGAATCTCTAAGCTCACCTCAGCTACAAATACAGCAATGTAGGCAGGCTTGAAGTGTTCATTTTGTCTAACTTTTCTCTGAAAAATATTGTGATAAAATGGATGATAGTTATGCTCTGATTTTTTATTATTTATTTATTTTTTTATTTATTTTGTGAACTGATTGACACTGTTATATCTGCGGAGCTTATATAGCATCAATTTTTTGTCAGAAGATATCATGATTTGTGAGTAAATAGGTATCTGAGAGGAGCTGGTTATAGTCCATTTTAAGATATTGTCTTCTGCACAGAATTACTGGGGTTTTGGACGATGGAAAAAAAATCCAAAACCCAACTAATTCTGTGTGTCATCCACCATCGTCAGAACCGTTTAGAATCTATATTGTCTTGTGTTAGTGATTAGACACAGTGTTTGGATTGAATATTGAATTACTGAATGCCTACTACTCGTAACCCCAAATAGTTACAGTACCTTGACTCTTCTGTCCGTTCTACTCACAAGTGAAGCATGCTCCAAGTCTTCCTACTCTGCTGTGTTTTCACAAGTCTTCACTTCGTAGCAGCTTTCAACATTGGAGATTTCAAGAGTGCTTATGTATTTTGAAATGGAGCCTCCTCTTTGACAACCTCTTTGGTCTCTCTGAGTAGGTGCCACATTTGTTGCAGTGTAATTCAGCACGAATTTATCTGCATGTCTTGTCTAACTGTCTGGAAAATTACTGCTGGCCCTCACCAGCACACTCATTACTAGTTCCAGGCCGCGCTGGACACATGACCAATATTTTTCTGCCTCACAATCTACTCTAACGGAGTTGCTCCCATTAGCCCTTGTCTTCAGCACCAGTCACGTAGAAAACACCATTTCCAACAGTTACTCTCTTATTGCATGCATATCTGTTACCACACAATACATGTCTACAGAGCCATTTCCTAGTGATTGATGTCTCCTCTAACTCCATTATTCCAGCTTTCAAGCATCATGTTACAGTATCATCCCTGCGTTTAATTGAAGAGGCTGAGGAGAACTGTAATATATGTCAGACATGATAGCTGGTAACTTGGGCAGGATTTAAAGCAGAGCATAGTTGGTTGAGGGGCTATGCTACAAGCCAGAAGGTCGCGGGTTCAAGTCCCGATGAGGTCATTGGATTTTTTTTTCAGTTGACCAAATCCAGCCGCACTAGGCCCTGGGGTTTACTCAGCTTCTAACAGAAATGAGTACCAGGAATTAATTAAATAATTTTCCTCGGGAGTAAAGCGCGGCTGACAACCTTACCGCAATCTTTGAGCCCATTGTCTAGAAAATGTGGGACACTCAATGTCTCACAACCCTATGGGCCTTCACGGCCTGGTACAGGGATAGCTTTACTTTTTACTTCACTTCCCAATCATTAATATTTAGTATTTTTTCTACATTAGCCTCCTTGGTAAAAATTTTATGAGGGGAAATGATGCGAAAAAACGTAGAAGGCATAGGTAAGTTAAATTGCCAAAAAAATATAGATGTCATGGGTAAATTGAAATTGAGTAAAATACAAAACGGTAAGATATATTTCTGTGCAGCATTTCTTTAAATTTCAGTTAATGTGTAATGATTAGTAAGATTTTTGTTCTGTATTATTATTATTATTATTATTATTATTATTGATATATTTTATTTTATTTTCTACAGCTCAGACCACCAATACCTACAGACTTGGTAGCCAAAGGAAACCACTTTACG